AATAATAATAGTCAGATTAACAATCCAAACAGCAACACACCAAAGGGTGTGTAAAAATAAATAAATAGCATCACTTAAGATTGTCATAACGTCATGGTCACCTGTCATACCTCGTAAATCCAGCGTACCTTGTGATACTGCGCATGCTCACACCGATGTTAAGTTTCTTATAAAGACGTAGTACTACCCATAGACATAATATAAGCATAGACTAAGCATAGTCTTCGCATCCACCTGAATAATGTGCAGTTGCGCCACTGGCCATAGGGACAAAATATCCCGCGGGAGACCAAGTTATTCTGTATGGAGTCTGCATGTTCTCTCTGGGTGCTCCAGCTTCCTCCCACAGTCCAAAAACATGACTGTCAGATTAATTGGTTTCTCTAAAGTGTCCTGTCTGTCTCTGTGTTGCCCTGCGACAGACTGGCGACCTGTCCAGGGTGAACCCTGCCTCTTGCCCGGAACGTTAGCTGGAGATGAATCAAACAAACTAAGAAGAAAATCTCCATTGCAAATGTTTTGGGTGTCGGTTTGAGTGTCACTTTATGCTGCAGTGGTAAAGAGTAAACGGAAGATCTCACAATGGGGCGACTTGTAAACACAGTAAGAGGCTGAGATGGGGGTTGTTAGAGAACGAGAAAAGGTAAAAAATAAATAAATAAATAAGGTGAGATTAAACATAAAATTCTTTAGCTGATGATCTGCTTAGTGCAGTGGTTCTTAACCTGGGTTCGATGGAACCCCAGGGGTTCGATGAGTCGGTCTCAGAGGTTCGGCGGAGCCTCTGCCGCGGAGGTAAAAACACACTTGTGTAAAGTCGTGATGACGCCCCGCTTTGCCATCACTTGCTGCAGAGGATCACGTTACATTGCTTAGCCAATCAGTGCTGCGGAGGAGCACTGATTGAAGGAGCTCCACTCTCTGCATGGATTTGAACTTGTGTCTAGTGGCGTGGGGGTGGTAACACAACTAATATAATTACATTACTAAATCAGAATGCCGCAAAGTCTTTATTATTTATTGTTAATTTTTCATTCTCTTAAGAATGTAGAGCTAATTAAATGATATAAACAAGACCTTAAAGTGGTTCCAGGTTCTCTCGATGGCCAACCTTTTGAAACTGTGGCAAATTTTAAATACCTTGGGTCGTTCCTAGACAGTCAGCTCAACTTTGCTGAAAACACTTACTATATTTTGAAGAACTGTTCTCAGAGACTCTACCTTTTAAGAAGACTTAGTGATCATGGGGTGACCCAACTAGACTCTACTTGGGTCACCCCTATGTCTTGAATTTGGGGGGGGGAAATAATATTTTATTTATCACTACAGAAGGGTTCAGTGAATGTGCATATGAAACTGGTGGGTTTGGTACCTCAAAAAAGGTTAAGAACCACTGCAGTAAACCATATTATTACGCATCTAAATATTTTGCAACAAATTTAACATTTCCCTTTACATATGTTTCTTTTTCATAAAGTAATGTCTAGTAAAGATGGAGAAACTTACATCAGTTGCCATCAGTTCCTCTGCGTCATCTATGGAGGCCACTTGAGTTTCCCCCTGAGAGATAAATGCATAGTCGTACGGGTTGTTTGTGATCAGCAGCATCTCTGGAGGATAAGAAAGATCAAGATAACATCAAGCAAAAAAACATTACAACATAATTAATTGCTTTTTCTACTGTACTGTGCTAACCCAGGATTTCAGGTTTCTTGTTGGAAAGAATCTGGTAGAAAATATGGTAATCTCGCTCAGCCTTGAGTTGGAAGGTCACTCGAGATTTCTCCAGCAGGTCTTCAGACAACAAGAGAGAAGTCACAACCATGAGAAAAATGAGACAGTGAAAAATTGTGGTTGCAAAAACTAAAAGGCTGCTTATACTTACATGTCTCGATATCAGCAGAAGCTAATTTTCCTCTGGTATCGAAGTGAATTCGGATGAATTTACCCTGAAAGAACAAAATAAAAAATGATCAATTTGCAAAAGATTATCTTGTCAGTTAGCTCCTTTTTCTCCTCGCCTTCTGTTGCTACATAATTTGTCCATCTTGTACAACAAGAGGGAAAAAAATGGTCTTTTACCTAATTTAAGATAAATCAGGTTTTCAGAATACGAAACAGTCACTGTGTTGAAACCAAATCTTTTGCATGATTGGGACACTAAATAACACAAACATAATCAAGAATGGAAAGCAATCGCTCACAAATCTGGAGGAGTTGTCATTCCTGATGGTCTTGGCATTGCCAAAGGCCTCCAGAGCCGGGTTAGCCTGAATGATTTGATCCTCCAGGGTACCCTGTCAAACAAACACATTACAATTACTGAAAGATCCACCATGAAGCTCTGACTACTTCCAACTGAATCAAGTGATGTTAAACTCAAAAGATTCATTAACTTTTAAAGTTTGCTTATAGTTAGGGTAGCTTTAGTTTATTCCTTTGCTAAAAGCAAAAATAGCTTTGCCAGAGAAATTACTTAATTTGTATGATTTTCCAGCTGCACTGAGCCCTGAAAAAGCTCGTCACATACCTTATCTTTTGCATTGGGGTCTTTCTTAATACCTCCAGCTGCAATACTTGCAAAGTACTGAATGACTCTCTTGGTGTTCACAGTCTTTCCTGCACCAGATTCTCCACTATGGGAGCAGAGTTACACATCAAAACAAGTCCATTCCTGGATGCAGAATAAGATATTGACTTTAGATCATATCGTACTACATTTCAGATGGAAGGTTTTTACATACGTGATCAGAATTGACTGGTTTTCACGGTCTGTCAAAAGGTTTTCGAAAAACATTTTTGTCAGTGAGGACAACAGACCCTGTTCAGAATGCTTTCTGTAGGTCACTGATTGCCTTTACCTGCCAGCATGTACTGGTAGGCATTGTCAGAGATGGAGAAGATGTGAGGAGGAGCTTCGCTCCTCTTCTTTCCTCTGTAGGCAACGACCACCTCTTGGTTGTAGACTGGCAGCCACTTGTAGGGGTTGACAGTCACACAGAACAGCCCAGAGTAGGTCTGAGAGATCAGAGAAAATCACACTGTTTCTCCGTAGTTTGGGTGGATAGAATTAAAACTTCCTGAGCCGTGCACTAATTAAAGTTTACTGTTTGTTGCCCAAAAGCCTACTCACGTAGATCATCCACGCTGCGTAACGCTCTTTGAGGTTAAACAGCACGGCTGGCTCATGGAGGAAGGTCAGCATGGCCATGTCCTCGATCTTGTCAAACTTGGGAGGGTTCTGTTGCAGAATGTCTGCCTCTTTGACAGTAACAGTCTGGAACAAGGAAAGTTTAATACATTTATCTTTTTATTTGTTTTTCATACACCGGCCTGAAAAGGAATTCACGTCCCTCAGTTTGGTTTGTCTCCTTTATTGGGATCTTGGGGGATATATCAACACAGAGCTGAGCATTTTTGTGAAAGGATAGTGACGTATTGTAAAAAAAAAAAAAAAATGAAATCTGAAAAATTTTGCATGCATTTGTATTGGGCCCCACAAATTAACTTATTTTGGTGCAATTAAGCTGAAAGTCTAGCTCAAGCTCTAATTGCCAAAGTGTTTGCGAACATTGATTTTCAAGTCTTAGACATAGAAACACATAGTGTTTCTGTGACACATAAAATCACAATAAAAACACACATTTTAAAACCAAAAAAATGTTACAAACATAAAGGGGTATTAATACTTTTGCAGGCCACCATTCATGTAAACGATTCATGACTCATTCTATTTTTGTAGAGCAAATAGAGAGTGAATGCCTAATGGCACCAGAGTGACACTAATTTCAATCTCATTCCCTATACTACTCACATTTATTCACACATTTCCACGCAGATAAACACTCTCACACACACACCAAGGAGTAAACCTAATGCCTTCTTACCTGCCCCAACTTCACCTCATTCCGTTTTGGTAAAATATCTGAGAAAACTCACTGACAGCTGGTTTTATTTACCGCCTGAAGCATTGGTGTTAAAGAGTACATTATTTATGCCTGATACACTAAAGCACTCACCTTCCCATTCTGCGTCTCCACAGTGACCTTATCTCCCTCCCGGCTGATGACGGTTGCCTTCACGAACTCTTCCACCGAATCTGGGACAAAGCATTCCTTCTTGATGTCGAACGGACGCGTGGAGGCCTCCATTCGCTCCTTCTCCGACTTCCTCAGGTACGGCGCCGCCGCACCATACGAAGACATCTCTGCATCCCCCATGGCTGCAGTACTGTGGACAAACGGACGATTGAGAAGTGCCTGTTCAGTGCCATGTCTGAACAGTTGCATCTTTGTACAAAGGATTTATTGGCAATTTAGCATAGTAATGGGAAGATAGTCACATATTAGATTTTTTTTAATGATGTAATTACCATTATAAACGTGAGGAAGTATAATTTACCTGTGGATTCAGCTCAGATGAAAGATGAGCTCAAGTCTTCAGACTGAAAATCACTGAAAGACCTGCAGGAAATGGAAACGTAAACATCGAGGCATGACTTCCTAAATGTATGAAATAATTTGAAATGATTTTACTTTCATCAGCATCTTGTTCTGCTATTATATATGTAATCGGTTAAAATTCATGTTTTTCACTTCGATGAAATATTAAATAAAATCCAACAGAAAGCCGCAGCAGTGGGTTCATACTTACAGAGGGCAGGTGAAGATGAAGCATCTGCTGAACCTGCAGGGGAGACGGGGATCAAATATATAACCCCAGATAACCGGCCTTACAAGGCCAAGGGCACCACCCTGACTTGATAACACCACACACACTTTCACACACTCATCGTTATCATCAGGTACACATGCCACAGTGCCCCCACACACATACGCGGACACCCTGTGGTAATCATCCTCATTTCTATCACTTTGTGACAGAGCTCGACTTGGCTCTGCAGACGTCTGGCTGCCCTCTCCTCTCCCGTTCGGTTCTACCTTCTGTGTCCAAATAATTTGATTTTTCAGGGAATAGAGCCAGGTACTTTCTGTTGCATAGCTCGCCCATGACTCGCCGCGGCATACCATCGCTATCTGGGATTTGGCCGCACTTTTCCCTGTCACCTCTAGTCCGAAATACTCTTTTCAAGTGGGGACCGCTCACGAACAGAAACCAGGTTCCATGGCAGCGGGAGACATGCAGGGTTTAAATCTATGTACAGAAAATTCACTGAATTTTTAGTATTACACTCAAATTTATAGATTATTTTGACTATGTGGTCGATGGGCAACTGTGTGGAAAAGTTGGATCTGAAGTCTTTTGCCGTTTGCAACAAGCATTTCTTGAAACAAGGGCACTTAATTTTTGTTGATCTATCACATACAGTTCTAATAAAATTGTGGCTTTAATGTCACAAAATCTGAAAAAAAAGTTTAATTGATTACCGCTGGAAGGGCCATTTTTTTGTTCATCTTTAATCCTCCTTACCTCACCTGATAATTGACGGGCCTCCCAGTTTCCTAACTCGTTTGAGTGTATCTTCAGCTAATTGTCATGCACAGTTTATAATTGAAGATCAATAGTTAAGGCGAAATGAGGAGGAGGGCCAACACGAATGCCTTGCTTAATGTAAGCTTACCTCAAACATGAATGCACAGAGCAATGTTCAGGTAAGCTCTGAAATACGTACGCTTCTCATGCAGTTTAGAGTTGTTGCTTGAGCCAATGTGTGGCCACAGTGCTGTGTCTATGCAACCCACAGCTCTCAGCGGTGAAAGCTGTCAAGTGGAGGAAGAAGCGCTTAAAGGATTAGGTTGTCTAAGTTTCTAGCGTGTGTGAAGATCCTGCCAGGAGGAAGACAGAACACTTCAGAAACCTCTTAAGCAAGCTTCTGGAGGTCAAATAAGGTTTAAACTATATCCCTGAAAAACTCGGTGGTTGAAGATATAAACTCTTCTTAGATAGAAGGGTTTTCCTCAGGGTTTCACATTAAAACAAGCTACGTTGAGTAAAATTACTTCTACTCGCTGTTAATAAACACCTCAGGAAGGAGCCTGGTTCTGTGTCCCAGAGGTGAATTTGTTTTGTTGAGAAATATATGAATCAACTCTAGAACTAAAGAAACTACATTTTCTGACTGAAGCTGTTACAGGTTTTGATTATTACAGTGAAACATTTCCTGCTCTGGCATGCGACAAGGAAAAAGCCATCACTGAGTTCAACAAAAAAAAAAAAAAAAAAGACAGATTACAGTTTTGAAATGCACTCGGCTGTCTGATGAGACTACACTAACAAGAGAAGTGTAGCATAGCTAATGTAAACCTAATTTCATATTTCACAAGTGCCGGAGCTCATTTGTTTACCCACTAGCATCGCTGTCATCTGCACTGTGGCCTCAGGAGATGAATTTACATGATGTCTCTTACTGTCACTTTGTGCTAATTGGCTTTCCAATTACTCCCTGATTTACAGGGTTGGCTCTTCGTGTAAGTTAATATGTCTCACACCGTAACGTGTTCATCATTGCCAGGTTGTAAGCCTGTGGTGGTAGATCATACAGTATGTAGTAGGCAATCCATCAGCAGCCACTTTAGTGACAGAATTATAATTACATACTGAATTTCCCCCAGTGGTTCACTAAAGTACAACTAAGACCAATGGACACACCTGAGAGAATAAGGTCAGGGTGATGAAAGTTTAAATCTGCCTGCAGCCTGATTCTGCTTACTGAAACAGGAAAAGTGTAGTAAGCACTTGCTTCAGACATACCTGCAGATAAATGTTTGGCCTCTGGATGGTGACAACTTCAGGGATTTGTTTCGTCTCAAACCACTGGCAAGCAATTTGCTTTATTGCTTTATTTTCCCCAATACGGAAGCCCAAGTAGATTTAAGTTGTCTGTCAGGTTGATAAAAGGCATATTCTCTATTAGTTGTAACTCAGTGTTCATACTACAGTTCTTCTAATGAGAAGAAACATGTTTCTAAAAGTGAAATACTACTTTAACCCTAAATCTTCCAAGGTTACATTGCTGGTAGTAGTTAGCATGTCAATTAACGAATAAGGATCGTTTTCAAACTCATTGGGCTTTTGTGTAACAAACCCAGTTCAGTGCAGCTTTTATGAAATCTTTTTAATTGTTCCAGCCCTTGATGGATGAGATTATTTTCTTTCTAAAACACCCAAGGACTGCCACCCAGATGAAAACCCATTTGTACATGACGTAGCGTATTTGACGTGCGCTTATTTACACCAGCTGATCAGGAATTAGCTGCTTGTATTTTGATGATTCGCAGCATGTGAAGGCGCCCTGTTCAGTTGGATCCTCCTCAATTCCCAGGAAATAACGGACTGACCCTCAGCTGATCAGTGGCTGCAAACACAACACTTTATGTATCCAAACACGACTCAAATCTCCTGAAAGTAAAGAACTGAGCATGTAAAGCACCGTGTAGACGTACCGTGTGTTTTTTTATTTTTATTTTCTGGTATGGCCAAGGAAAAGATGTCGACTTTATGCACTATTATTCTTTAGGAATCCAGCAGGTGTCCACTTGATTAATACGGTGGTGTTATGAATATTAATAGAGGTTTTGTTTGGGGTCTTGAGTGACCTGACTGCCCTCTGCTGCAGACCGCACTGGCTGTGTTGGTGCTATGTGCTGGCCACGCTATCAGAGGCATTTTCCATCCGACAGCAGCTGAGGAGATAAAAGTTCATTTTTAACACAACTGATTGGAGCCAGACGCCATCATGGAGGACAGCAATTTGTGTTTAGCAGCACAGCTGTTCACTCCATGCTCTCAATGTTGGATAGAAATGTTGGTTTCAATTATTTCTGCCTTGGAAAAGTATTCACACACCCTAAACCACGTGTGTCAAACTCGAGGCCCAGGGGGCCAAATCTGGCCCGCTGTAGCTTTTTATGTGGCCCTCTAGACTCCAAATTACATCAATAAGTCCCCCCAGTTTTTCAGAAATGCACAAAATTCACACAAAATCAATATATCCCCTTATTTTTTCTGATTTTTACTGCAGATTTTTCTCAAAAGTGGCCAAAAACATTGTGTTTAAGTGACTGCCGCCTAAGCCTTGCTGGATGTCAGGCTGTAGCCCGTGATTTATATGGCGAGTAATAAAAAGTCACATTTAACGTCATATATTAGCGCAAATATCGTAAAGATTTCTTACAAATATTTCTAAAGTAGCATCACAAAAGCTGTGGTTTTGATTGCAAAAAATACAGTTAGGATAAAATGTGGCACACAATGAATGTGTGCCACATTTTTCAGATTTTTATTTGTGAAAATTTTGAAAAGTATGTATTATTTTTGACCCATTTAAGTTTGTAGTTGTGAAATGCTGACCTTTTTTGCCTGAATTACTGTGCTAGTCACGTTACCCAGCTCTGTAACAACGTTTCGCATGAACACAGTCTGCAGTCAGTAAAACACATATTTATCCGTCTTTTCTTTGAAAGGGAAGAAGCACCAGGCGCTCAGCATGGCCGTCTATATCCGACCTCTCAGGCTTTTTGTTTGGATGATTATTAGCACAGCAGAGACAGACAGGCCAGCAGCTGTTTGGACTGTCAGGCTAAGTTTTATGGAGGATTAGAGGTTAAATCCTACAGCTGACAGCTCCTCTGCCTGGAGGCCACACACACAGGCCCCGTTATGGACCTGCCCAAAGAGAGCCAAAAGCAGAGGTGGGTGTGGAGCGCTTCCTGTTCCATTTTAATTGTATAATCAACCTTTCTGCCCCTGAGGATGTTTTTTTTTTTTTCTTTCTCAGTTTTTTTTTTCTGTGGATAAATTTGTCTGGATTTGTATATTAAATAAATCATAAACTATCAACCTGTTCACTGATAATTATCCCATTCTTTTCATCTTTTCCTATAGGGAAATCATTGCTCACCCTGAGTCTGGTTCTGTTGGAGGCATATTCGTTTTTCAAGGGAATGATTGACTTTGTACCAATAATGTTTACTGTTAATCTTTATTTGCAAGATATTTTTTAATATGAACTATGTTGTAGTTGTTGTAGAGATTACATATAAAGTAAGGCAAAGGGTTGTTTATGGAAGATCATAGTAAGTTTAAAGTTTGAAATAAACTGCAAGCCACAGATATTTAGAATAAATTGTAATACCCCAGTTTCTCCAGGAGGTGGCAGCGCTTTGTCGCAACTGTCTTGGTAGAAAAGGAAACTTAACAAAAGAACAATTAAATTTGCAGACGGCATACATTAGTCAGTTATTAATTGAACATTTTAATAACATTAATATTAATAGTCCAACTTGTTCACCATAAATTAAATGTGTATAAGATATGCAGACCTTTTCTTATTCATATTCACTACCTTGTTTCCGTTTTCAGCCCAGCATTTTTTTTTAACTATTATGTAGTCTGATCTGTAAGATTGGATTTAATTTGCTTTTGTTGTTGTTGTTATTATTATTATTATTATTTTTTTTTTAGTAAAGTCCCTTATGATGACATTTGTTGGTGCTAAACCAACAAACTGAATTGAATTGTAATCCAACTAAGATGCCAGCAGATGTCGACAGCAGTACAGGAACCTGTGTTGGGCCTCAATAAGAGATTGTTCAGGCTGAGGATGAACAAAAAACTAATAGCTCACCTTAAGTCACACTTATTACCCACCTACAACTGCAAAGTGTCTCAGTACAAATATGTTCTTTCTTAAGATAGTTCAACATATTTCATGTGTCATTTGGCCAACCTTTTACGTCTTTTGGTCTGGCAGTTTTCATGCCTGGGTGTGGCTAGCGAAACGTAACTTAGATTACCAAAGAGATACGGTTAATCCCAACTGATATATGAATGTCCATAACCAGGACATTAAATTTTCACACAGTTTTACATTTGAGATTTTTTTGTTGTTGTTCTTTTTATTTACTCAAGTCAAGTCTGATAGTAAAATTTTGATTATCTGAAACATTTAGACATGATTAAAAAAGAAAACTGTAAGGAGAAAAATACTTTTTCAAAGAACCGATTGTGACTACAGTCATGCTTTAGCTATTCATCACAAAATTTAGCAAATACTTCCTTGTTCTCCTGACTGTTTTTACGTAAAAGAAACAAATTTTAACCAGAAAGATGTCGGCGTGTTGTTACAAGCGTGATACTGAACATGATCTCAGTGGTTCTTACTGGAAAGTATCACTTTTAATTCAAACATATTTGAGTTACAAAAAAAAAAAAAGCTACAAGAACATGTCGTCTCTTTCTGCATGATGTCAGCTGCTCAAATGCTTTTTGGAAGGGCTTTCATTATGGGACCCCGAACTTCTTCAGCATGCCGTCAGGAAACAAGAGAAGGTAGACATTCAGCACGCAGGAAGCTGCTCCACATCTATTCCTGTCGTGGCAGCAAGAAAACAGAAAGTCATAGTAAGCATGGTTCAGCTGAGCCACACGTTTCAGAACCATGATGACAAAGAGACACTTGTAATTAACAACAGCACATCGAGGGAAGCATGTAGCTCTAAAGTGATGAGTTATATTTTATTAACAGTGCCTTGCAGATGCATTCATGTTGTCATGGTATGACTATGATCTTTATTATATTTGAATATAGAAAGTTATGTGAGAAAGTAGAAGAAGAGATAAGATGCATGGCTGTTAAAAGGAAGGAGCTGATGTGCAGCTGGGAATAAAGTTGCAACACTTCTGAGCTTTGCCACATATTCTCATTTGGATTTAAGGTTGGACTTTGACTAGGCCATTCTGACACATTGTGATACGCTGCTACTGCAGGATTAGGGTGATTTTTCTGCTGAGCTGTGAACAGGTTTTCTCCGAGGACTAGCATCTTGCATGTGGCTCCGTTCATCTTCCCTTCCCCTGTCAGCATGATGCTGCCGCCACCATATTTTGATGTTCAGGCGATGCAGAATGTTTAGTTCTTTTCTGACACACACATTAAAAAAATATTTTTCTCAGAGGAGCTTTTTCTTATGCTTGTAAAGTTCTCTGTTCCTCGTGTCAAAACTGGATTTGTTACAATGAAGGCGCCCTTCCACGAAGGTCAGAGTTTACGTGTGGACGACTATTGCATTTAAGGTGACGGGATGCCTCTTGCTGATTATGCTCAATAGTCGATGAAATGAGGGAGAGGGAGGCATGTAGGGGAGAAAGGACGATAACAGTAGTGAATTCTGTGTGTGTGTGATTGACAGAAACCGACTGCTGCAACAGCTGCGTATCAGAGCAGACACAGTGCAAAGGTTGCTGCTATTAATACACATAAACATAAGGAGACACTTTGCATGTACTTTACGACATTTGTTTAATGACTTCTTAGCTAAGCTAATATCACTGCATCGCATTATTTCTCCTTAATTCGTCATTGTCAGAAATTGTCATGTGTAGGAAAACACATCTGTGCTATGTGACACATTTAGGTCGCAGGGTATGCGTGGTGCGTGCGTGCGTGTGTGTGTGTGTATATATATGTCAGACAGAGAAGATGTTGTGATGGTTCATATTCAGCGGACAAGGGTCAGTGTCCTCTGAGCTGGACGGCTACAGTTACATTTGAAATAGAAAAGTATTCTGAGTCTATAAAAGCAGTATGCCCGGGATGATAACACAGAGGTACAAGATTAGCATTTTGTCCAGAAGCAAACTGGAGCAATAACCACAGAAAGAGCCAAACGTTCACAAGCACTCAGCTGCAGCTGAGGCCGACCAGGTTGAGTCAACGGGTGGGGGGTAAATTACATCTGAGTCAGCACTGCAGATTGCTGGAACGGAGATCCACCGGGGCCAGGTTTCACAGCGCGCAGACATTTGGACTCTGAGGAATGCTCAAAGCCAGTTGTCACTTCATTCATGTTGTGCAGCGGACACGGATGCAGGTTTACGGCCAACAACCAGAGACGCCCACTGTTTCCAGCAGCTTTGGATTAGCTGTCAAGGCAGCGAAGGATCTGATCTGGAGTTTTAAAACAGAAACTCGCTTTGAGAAACGGATCAAGGGGGGGGGAGTGGAGGAGGGTTCATTTCTGCATCTTTCTGGTCATGACTTGTTGTTTGCAGCAAAGGTAAATCAAAGTGAGTTATGTTTTACATATTGTACATAGTAACGGCATTAACGTTAAAATTTTACACACTATTGAATCTGATTGGGTTTGTTTATGCTAAGACTGCTGCCCTCAAATGCTGACTCTCCTGTTTTAGTTTGGGCCTGGATTCGGTTCTGGTGTTGCTTTCAGATGTTCCTCAACACGGTGCTGGTGGTCCTGACAGACCTGGCTGCCAGGTTGCTTGGTAACAAGCTGTTCAGGCAGCATTTCCACCTGCTGCTCTCAGCTGTCCTGGTGTTCGGCCCTGCGCTGAGCCTCTGGGTTTCCCATCACAGCATCTTTGCCAAGAGAAGCCACTTCCTCTATAGGTAGGATGGATCACTTCCTGTTTATGCTTCTCAGGGTTTTTATATATTGCTAATGATGTTCTCTTCAACGCCTTGTCAAACATATGAATTCCCATTGTACCCTTTTTCACATTTTGTCATGTTACAGTCACATGCTACTCTATGTATTTACTGTTTAATACTCTATTTACTCAGAATATGTGGTAGACCAACAAAAACTAGAAAATCCTTCAACTACAAATGCACTTGTGAGTCGTTTAGGATATGCCTATGCTTTGCACGTCGTCACCTTCCTAAAATAAGGGCCTAAGTTCTTTTTTGCCAAAAGTGATGAATTAGGCCATCAGTTTAGGGAGGTGACAATATGTAGGGACTATTCTTCTTTGCTGAGCAGATGAAACTCAGTCCAACTTCAAGTCTTGTTGCATAGGCCCAGACTTGGACTACGCTCAATATGAACATTTTAAAAATGCAAAGAGAATAAAGTCTGCCTATGTCTATTTTTCCAGATAACGTGCCAGTATAAGCTCAGTACTGGAGACTTAGATTTTAACACACAGACTGACTGACACAAGAGTAAATGAGGAAAAATTGACAAACTTCACATCATAGATACAGGTCTAAACATGTATGTAAAGGGTCACTTTGTGTTGCATATTATTTAATCAAGAATTTCCCCATGAAATGCTTATAAATGCTTATTAAAAATGCATATTCCAGGCTGAAGATAAAACCCTCCTACAGACACCGTCTGCTCCTCCTCTCTGTCCTCCAGGTTGTTCCTGCGCTCTGGTTGGGGCTGGACGTGTGTTTTCGTCGGGTCCTTCGTCTTCCTCCTCTCCTACTCCATCCGCCGCTCCGTCCTACACTCGCTCCGTCACCTCAGCAGGCTCGCAGTGGCAGGAGGGCTCTGGCTTTGCTTCTGTACACTGCTGGACCTCCTGGAGAACACCACAGGAAGCTGCTATGAACCTCTGTCCACTGGTCCAGAGGTCACCGGTGGGCAGCCTCTGCTGGTGCTCAAAGAAGGGGAGAGCAAGTCCGAGTGCCTGAAAGCTGGGATGGTGTGGCGAGGTTACGAGGTTTCAGAGGACGTCTTCCTTCTGTGTCTGTGCTGCCTGCTGCTGGCAGAGGAAACGTCGGTGTTTGGTCCGTATCTGAGGCTCGGGGGCGTCTCAGACGCCCCACTGAGGATCCTCTTTTTGCTCTGTGTTCTCCTTCTTGGACTGTGGATCTTCCTGCTGCTCTGTCTCTTAGCCTACTTCCCCCAGTTCCCCACTCAGCTGCTAGGAGGAGCGCTGGGCTGCCTCAGCTGGAGGGGACTGTATCAGGGCTGGTACCGCATGGGGCCCAGCTGGTACTGCCCAGGAAGGCCTGGTCAGGGACTGCTCAACATGAAGACCAGCAGCGCTGGCGCAGAAGACACACTAAACCATAATCACTACAATTAACCGATGAAAACAGATTCAACGCTTTGAGCTTAAACATTAAAAGTCTTTAAATCTTCCAACAAAAATTTGCCTGAAAAGTTTTGGCATTTTCTTGCACTCTATGTTTAAACCTGTCATTATTTTTGCATTAATGGTGCTTCAAACATTTTGCTTACAATTGTTGCACAATTTAAAGTGGATATATTATGCAAAACTCGCATTTTGCATGTTTTTGTGATTCTATTTAAGTCTCAACTGCTTCCAAAAGCAAAAAAAAGAAAAAAAAACACCAAGCCATTTTTTTTTTTGGCAATAAGTTAATATGATTCTGTTTAGTAACATTCAACAGGCACCAGGCTGTTACCTACCAACCCAAGAAGATCCACCATGTTTGGTCAGCTGGTTTTACTGTTGTACAATGGCTACAATACTCCGTCGTCAACTTACCAACCAGAAACCACTTTGCCATTTGTGCAGGACGCTCCATTTCTGCTTTTCAAGGATTAAGGTTTATATAATTTCTCTAAACATTGTTTGGGGGACGTGGCCAGCAGCAGCTTATTTGGATTTAAAGTGACAACAGACCCTAAGACATTTCCGAAAGCAACTCAAAATAGACTGATCAGACTAAAAGCTCAATATTAAAGAATTATTTTGTGCAAAATGCAATGAACATATCTGAACCTGTTCAAGTAACAAATTTATTACCAAAGTAAATAAGTATTAGAAAAGTAACATGTATGTTTGGATGTCAAACTGCTTGACAAATAGTCAAATATTTTTGCAGATAGTAATTTTACTTAAAAAAAAAAACATGTTGGTGACATGACTGTGTTTACGTAAGATTGTGTAGTTAGGACCCCATTTAAAAAATAACATTTATAAAAAAAAAAGTTAATCACTATGGTGTTTAATAGTTTATTGATAAAACATCTTCGGAAAGACAATATATACAAAATATTTTCCACTAAGCAGCAGAAAATAAAGGCTACCATCAGTTCAGCTGGTTCTTCACACAAACCTTACAGCAGCGCCGCATCTAAAACCTCTCAGAGATGCACACCGTTCACCCATTCCATTCCATCCGGATGCTGGAAACATTTTCCAATTCTTTTGGTAGCTCCATACAATCACCTTCATCCCACAATCCAGTTTAAATTCAGCAAACCAACAGAGAGAGAAATGCTAGAGTCCTTAAATAAAAACCCACACAAAACTGATTTCTTATCTGCATAATGATCCTAGAGACGATGTGAAACTGAAAGAAACGTTGAGTTTGGTGATCGCTGGAACCTGATGTTTGTTCCTTGTTGATATTAATAAGTGAAATACCGCCACACAACATTCAGCTTATAGCAGCGCAGCCTCTGAGTGCCAGTCGATTCCAGCTCTTCTAGTTCAGAGACCACCTGATCGTCACAGTGTCCATACTACTTTGCCAACTTTCCGTTTGTTACCAAAAGGCTGACAAATCCGTCTTCTTCCTCTGCAGTGTTTGCAGAGGAAGAAGAGTGACTGAACCTACGACCAGCCTGTCTTCGTAAGACACAGAGCTCTGGCCGGCGTGTTCTAAGATGTGTTTGCTGCGACACATTTTGGACGTATAAAAATGACTTAACAGAAATGAAGTATTGGCTGATGAAAGAAATATCAGGAGAAGGTTGGGATTGGGGAATCAACAGAGTCCAAAGGTTCCCATCGACAGTTCATCAAAGCGTCATAAAGCTCCTCACTGTGCTGCATAAAGTCCTTGTTCCACAGCTCCACGTCGCATTCAGGGATGGGCTCTGGAATAAATCCCACCAAGATCATCAGAAAAATAATTATTCATCCTGCTTCTCTTTCATAAAGTTCGGTATTGTTCATGAGATGAATCGCTTCCAGTAGAAATGATTATTGGAAAGCGATCAAGGATTTTTACCTTCTGTGGTGTCATCATCAGCATCTTCAGTTTGCTCCTGGCCCTGCTGGACACAGACCCAGGATTACAATAAAACTACTGTCACCGGACCATAAAACAACTAAAAGTTTAATCAGAATCCTAAAAGTACATCAATACTAATCTGAATATATCAAATTTTCAACCAGGAAAACAGATTGTTTATTCTGTTAGAATGACTGAGCAAATGCTATTGCTACCTACAGGTATTGTTGATAGTTAGCTCCAATGCATTTATACAACCATATTGTTGTAGGTTCATCAAATTACAGCCTATAACAGATTTAGATTTATCCATAAAATAGTTTACAGTAGAGATGTGCTGATCAGGTTTTTTCCTGCCGATACCTATACCGATCACCCATGAGGGCCGATACACCGATACCGATCACCGATACCGATCACATAATTATTATTTATTTATTTTTTATCATAAACCCTACCGGTTACATTATGTGGAAAAAGGAACCATGAATTCACCATAATTTAGACAAAAACTTATTTTTAATAACTTTTTCCAAGAAGAAAACTAAACAAAACAGGCATTGTGCGAATTGTACTGCTATTGATAATACTACCTTTAACAGAATGATAACATATGAAGGCTCTGAAGAGGCTAAATAATACAAATAAGCCAAAATAAAACCTCTCAACATTGCCAAGAAGTTCAAGTATAAAACTTGACATTCAAAGGCAAATACCGGATCCATTACAATAAACAATCCAGAGTTACTGAATGAAAACTTCCTGATAGCATAGCGGCTAGCTGATTACTGCTAGTTCTGAGTGGCTGTTTCTGACTGAGCGGAGTAATTATGCAGATCAGGGAGGAGGCAGAGGAGATCGATTATTTTTTAGAGATTATCTGTCTCATGTTAGGACAGCGAAAGTTTTAATACGTATGTAAAATTTATTTTTAGGTCAGATGCTGCAGCTTTAAGCAGGTTCGGTGTGAGAGTCACTACCAGGTGGAGCAGAAGCGGCGCTCCGTCTGTGAAATATTACTACCTGTAGCGTAGCAGGGGTTCAACAGCGAGAGCAGAACCAGCGTCTTACATCGCAGCTCGAAGACTTAAATAATTTTCCAGGTTATTTGTTTAGCTTTCTGACCGTCATGCTAATCCGGGTGAGTGTTTGTAGCTGTGCTTTACCTGCTATCTGATCCTCCATATGTCTTTTTTACTGCAGTGAGCCTCGATGTAGCCAACCTCCGTCAAGTATGGCACTGTTTTTATGTCGTATTAGCTTCGTTGTGTTGATGCATTTTGACCTGCTTCAATTTTCCGCTGCAACACGCAAACTTCCCCTTTCACTCAGTGCGTTATAGTTACACATCGCTTAGGATTTGTTGCTGCACGTTTGCGCAGTGTGAAGGAAAGAGGAGACCAGCTGCACAGGCAGGCTGGAAATGAGATGCAGGTGATCGGTATCAGCAACAAGAGCCAATGATCACCGATCATGCACTTTTTCATGAAAATCGGCCCGATTATGATCGGTGAACGATCGATCGGCACACCTCTAGTTTACAGTCAACTAACTTGCACCAGTTGATCAGTTTGTATTTATTTTACCTGTACAGCTCCCGTCATGTCGGTGGACATGGGTGGCATCCCCACGGGAGGCGGGGGCATCATGTGACCTGATGGGGGGTAACCGTAAGCCCCGTAGTTATAGTTGTAGCCGCTGTTGTAGCTGCTATTGTATCCGCTGTTGTATCCGCTGTTGTAGCCGTAGCCACTGCTGTTGTAGCCACTGTACTGGTCGTAGCCCCCCCACTGAGGATAGTAACCCCCCTGACTTCCTGCTGCGTGGCTGCCGTAGTAACCGGTCTGTGTCGGGTTGTAGCTACTGTAGCTCTGAGTCTGGCCTCCTGGGTAGGTCGTCTTTTGGCTGAAAAACAACAACAAAAAAGGAGATTTGAAATATTGTCAATCTAAAACTGTCTGAACTGAATTATTCCGTAAAACTTAAAAATGCAGAAAGCCTTGACCTTAAACTTCTATAATTAATAAAGCTTAAGTTTTACATTTGAAAGGCTCCAGGTCAGTTCACCCCTTTGAAGCACTTATTTCAAGCCAACAAATGTGTTTATAAACTATTTTCTGGTTAAACAATTATTTAATTCAAGGTGAAATATTAAACCCTAAAATTACGTTTTTCTAAAATCCGTTTATAATTGTCACCCCAGAGTTTTAACTACTTGGATAACTTTAAAATACATCTACAAAGATACAATTAAATGTTTCAATCAGATTTTTTTTGTTTTTTTAAAGTCTGAGATAAATTTCTAAAAATCAATGTTGATATTTTCTGTTTTTAAAGGATCCTTTTCTTTCCTCAACTCTTCATCTTGTAAGATGCGTCGTACCTTTTCGCCACAGCGATGCTGAGCCTCAGGGTTTTCCCCCCCAGCACGGTTCCCTGGCACTCCTCTATCGCCGCCTTCTGTTCGCTCTCGTCACCGAACTTGACGAAGCCGTAGCCTCTGAAAAACCAGACCAAAGTTACGCCTCCTCTGCCCACCGGTTTGTGCCTCATACTTGCCATGTATTAGCCACTTATGAGAAACAGAATATAATGGGTATTATTATGGTAGAACTGAAACTTGCTGTTTTACTTTTAACATGAGGTAGCATCACTTGAATTGTGAGTTGCTCTTGCTTAGCCTATATGGGGAAAACAATAGTTTTAGCATAAGACGGCAAGGAAACATTTCTTCAGCCTTTTTCGAAAACAGATGAAGATGCACTGGTGGTCAACGTCCAAAGCACTGCTATCTGAGTAACCAAGTTTAATAATAAAGCACAAAAAGAATTTTAATTAAGAAATTAAAATCGCACAGAGTGGTCAACGTACTTTGAATAGCCGTACTGGTCGGTGACTACTTTGGCTCCTTTGCAGGAAGGGTACTTCTTAAAGACCTGATGCAGCTGAAAGTCGTCCACTTCAGAGGCCAAGTCTCCCACAAACACTGAGAACTCCGGCCTGAAAGAGCAAAAAAATTAATAAATAAAAATGATTAAAATGTCTATTTGTGCACACATAAAGAACTCAGTGATTTATTCGAAACAATACTGATAAGCAGCAAAATGTAGCTTCGTGTTTGACAAATAAGCTGAGCTCAGGTGTTATATGTTTATGAGCAAACTACGAGAAATGTTCTTAGTTTTAGAATAATAGCTAAATTAATACAGTGGATGGTCTGATTTACCTAAGGGAAAAAAATAATTGAGGTTCAACATTTGTATCTTATTCAATTAAAACATTCTATTGTTTATTTGGCTTTTAACAGGCATAGTTAAAGACACACCTAGAAAGCAAGCAGGAAACTAAGTAGCTGAATTTAAGCTGGATCATCCCCGACAGTTGAAAAGACAACTGTCATTTCCTGATCTTTTTCCGATCATTAAACGCACCACAACTAACACAGACTGAAATAGATGTTGTAATCTATGTTTATGATGTCATTAGCGCTACGTTGCTTGTGTCCAGCCAACTTGCGCGATGTGTCCAAGCACTAAGTTTGGACATTGGAGCTATTTTGGGAATGAGACTAATGATAAAACCCTGGGAGAAGCTACTGTAACAACTGTCTTACATCTGAAGAAATGTAGGATTATTATACAGACAGAAGGGGTGAAAGCGACCTCTAAAGGAAAGTAAAGGTACGATACACAAATCAGATCTTACCCTGCTTCTGGACGTTTTCCGTATGTGGCATAATTTAGCTTAAACTTCCTGGGCTGCAATTGGGGGGGAAAAAGAACGCAGACATTAAGGCAACCTCAAACACCAAAGACGTGTAGTATAGCACTGATATTGCTGGAAACAAAAAGTGGCGTTATTATTGTTATTTAGGTTTACATACCTCCACCACCCAGACCAGCCTTTAGCCCCCTCCTCAGTTAGTTCCTACCAGAGACTCTACCAGGGCAGCCCATAGCTTGGCCGGCCCACTGGGCCAACAGTACTTCAAACCAAGCAGTGCCAAGCAGCTCATAGCTCATAATGTCACACACCACATGAAACCGGCATCTTCAGGATGGGAACATTTGTTGCTTTACATCAACAGGCCTTATTGTCCAGCATTTGTCACACAAAGTCACATAAAACCATTAAAATGACACAAGTACTAGTGGGTTAAACTGATCACAAATACTCAAATGTTCTACTGCTACACACAGGTGGGTATTCATAAAACAAAGTACATCCGAGGCGGGCAGAGCTCTGCTATCCACAATAAAAGAGTTAAGCACTGAAAAGGCCCAAATCTACCGCTGAGAAAAGGAAGATGGCAAGAAACTGTCAATATATTAATATCAATAGAGAAACATTTATTTCTGATATGAGAGCTACTGAAAAAAAAAAGTGAATATTTTGCTGCTAAATCAAACAGCTTACCGGGTTTGATCCTGGAACCAGTTTTCCGTTGAGTCTTTGTACGCAGCGGTCGACGCTCGCTTCATCTGCCAGCTCCACAAAACAGTAACCCGCTGAGCCACTGCGGAAAGACAAAGAGGGGAACAAACTGAAAAAGTTAAGCAAAAGGAAGGCAAGTGGATAAAAGAAAAGAAGGTGCAAATGTTTAACAGAGAATAAGTTGAGAACAAGTAACTTAATATTCAACAACAAAAAAGTCAGAAAATTTACATTTAAAGGCTTTAACAACAGAATCATGTCTGATCAGTAGTGTTCTGCATTTCCTACCCTGTTATCCTGTGAGTGATGATCTTGACTCCCAGCGGTGACTCTCCCATACCACTAAAGGCCTGCTTGACAAAGTTCTCATCCATATATGGGTCCAACTAGAAATAAATAAAAGAGGTAACTATGTCACCGTCAAATAAAAATATATGACTCATGTAGAAAAGGGTATGGATGTGTAGGAGATTTCCTATGCACCCTGAACGCAACACAGGTGTGCAGCTCGGTAACCCCACAGATAGAAAAAAAGGCAGCAAAGAAGCAGCTGAATGACTGTGTGCGTTCATAAACCTGTAAGTTTTGTTATCATTCATGCTATTATGTTTCGGTTAGAGAGGTAATGTGCCGATTTATTTAGCTGTATAGTGTATTTACAGCTTTGCTTTATTTTATGTTTCCGTTGTAACTGTGGTTCTAATTGGCTTGTATTATTCTGTTTGTTTACAGAACCACACACACACGCACTTGTATACCTGTATACCTGCTTCATGTACATTCTGTCGGAAAGGATATAAAGAGTACAAATTGAACGGGACTCTTCCTGATTCATTCCACATCCACATCTGTTCCGCATCCACATATGCTAATAGGTGTTCTGATCGGACACTCTGAGGCGATCATTGCCAGCTTAAATCCAGAGGTCTTCTCAACAACTCAGAATAAAGTTGTGTGGCATTTAGAAACAATCTTTACCAAATATTACTAAATTAAACTTTGCGGCTTTTACAGGATTTATTATTGTACATGTAAACAATCTCTAATCACTTTTTTAAAAATCTTGATATGAATGAGCATGAATCAAGCATGAATGCAGAAAACGTTTAACAAAGTTTTGCAAAACTTCAAATCCCTAGTATAGATAATGCATTGGTATGTTTTTAGCCAAATAAGAAAAAATAAATGAATGAAGCAAAGTTAATAAAGTAAGTCATTACTGTCACCAAGACACTAAACAGTAAGTAGTTCCTGCCCCTAGTTTGTGCAAAAACAGAAAAGCATCAGTGAACAAAGTATTCATAGTACTAAATATACATACTGCACTCATGTAATTTTGTTAATTTTATCGTAAAGACTGTTCTTTTCTTTCTAAACAAGACATTTAAATTTACTGCAACTACTTTTGACTTGAATATTTCCGCTTGGATAAAAGACGATACTTCACTCGACTAATAAACTATTTTCGGCCCTCCAGAGTTATGAGATCTTTAACGCTTTAGGCTGCAGTTCTACATGTCAGACTTGTTAACTGTTAGCTTATATTTAGCTAACGTTTCCTGCGGCATGACAAAGCGCTTATCCACAAGTTAAATATATTCGCACTTTTATTAAACTTTTAATGGTAACCTAAATTAACTTTTAGATAATTTAGGTTACCATTTAGTTCTAGAGAGGAGTTTCGAGCCATACATACAAAGCACTTCGGCGGAGGCATATCTGTCTTCATGGTTCGTCAAAGCTAACCAAGCTAGCTATATGCGCGGCTAAACTAACGTTGGGAAATAAAAGCAAAGATTGGGACTTACATCACCCATCCACAGGCTGTTTTGCCTGTTAAACATCATTGAAAGTAGTATCGACGTGACACTATAGAAGAAACTGTTGAGCAAAAACTGACAAAGTCCTCACTGCAGAAATTTGCAACCCACACGTCGACTGACTTCCGTCTTAGCAAGCGTAGAAGAGCGAAGGTTGCGCGGTGCTTCCGGTAGGAAGCTGTAGAACTAAATTTCAAAATAAAATGAAACTCACAAACTTTCATAGTAAATTACTCTAAATAGCTCAGATACTAATATGAAAAGGGCGAGTAAACGTGTTTCAAAAATATAAATAATGAAGCCGTTTCTTTTTATATATAAATATATGTTACTTGCATTTGTTTATTTGGATCCTCATTAGCCATTGCCGTAACAATGGCTACTTTATCCTTGGATCCACGTCATAAAAATATATATATATTTGTTACAAAATCAGATACGCACAATTATGAACCATATCGTAGAAAAAAGTCAAGATTTGCGTTGCTGTCTGAGCTAACCACTCAGTCTGTAATCTATTTGACAAGGAAGAGTTAAATATTATTTTGTAGATTACTGTCACAGGAAAATGTTATCGTTATTGAAATATTTATGGAACGTTAACAGAGAATGTTTGATCAAATATTAAAATATTCAATTTCATAATTTTGTGGACAAATTAATTCATTAATTTTTAACGTTTATTTTATTTATTTATGGAAAATAATATAATTTAAATAAAAGGAATAAATTACAGCTTATTATTGTGATACTTTTAACTCAGAAGGTTATCTAGATTAGAGAAGAAACAGGGGTATTAGGTCGGTTTACTTTAGAAGACTAACTGAATTTGATTAATCATTGAACATAACCACAATTTTAAGTATATATTCGTAATTTGCAAATAAGAAGGTCCCACCGAGATTTGAACTCGGATCGCTGGATTCAGAGTCCAGAGTGCTAACCATTACACCATGGAACCACATGCTGTCATTTACGTGAGCTTCATGCTAGAGTGAAAGATGCGTTCAAGTACTTCAGAAGTTGTGGAAACGTGACCTAGTTTCACGTTGATTCATTAAATCAAACGTTTCCGCGTCGAAAAGCGGCGACCGTACTGAGGATAAGACTACTAACGAGTAAAATTCATGTGGAGGCCAGTAAAAAAAAGTCAGAAATTATACTTTGCTTTTTCTTTTCCACAAAGAGGCACAATTTAAAAAGAAAGTAGTAAAATACAATGCAAACCAGGTGGATAACATAAAACTCTCAGCTGAAAAAATGCAGGTTATGTGCGTAAAAGCTATGGGGTTCCCCATTTGTTTTTTGTTGTTGCTTTATTACAAACAAATAAAAAAAAAACAATAAAACAAACAAAAAGCATCACCTTCTGTGTGGTAACATATTAATGGCCTTTAATGTAACACCGACTGACGCGGTAACCATGGTAGCTGCCATTCTCGGGATAACAATGACATCAATACAGGACGAAATATTCAACAGCGTTCTCTCAGGAGACGTAGAAGACTTACAGCAGGTTCTGGAAAGTTACGATGCTACCGAAGAGACAGAGGAGATCAATTTGTTTGGAAAAGTGGACGAGATGGGAAGAAATGCCCTTTTAGTCGCTTCCATGCTCGGAAAGAGCAGCGTTGTCCGTGAACTGGTGAAACAAGGCGCCAAGTTGGACGAGCAAACCGTTAGAGGTGAGAGCGAATGAACGAGATCACACAGTGGGGTCTGTTATTTCATTTTAAACCAACAATATTCAGTTTAGTGCAAAGCACACAACCATTTACCGACTAACACAGGTACAAGTTTGAATTCTTTGGCAGGATTGACCTTTATAGATTTAATATTTACCTGTTTATTGTACGGATAAGCCATCACCTTGATACACTGCCGAGTTATTTTTTAGGGTATACATCGCTGCATCTTGCTGCTTGTTGGGGCCATCTGGACACAGTGAAGACTCTGCTTGAGCTAGGAGCTGACTTAAAGGCCAAGACCTTCAGAGAGGAGTCACCTCTGGACCTGGCCAAGAGATACTCCCAGACAGACTGCATTGACCATCTCACACTGGCTGGTGTGTGATGTCCACCTCAGCAATGCGGATCATATTGAGTGGAAATGACTCTTAATTATGTTTATCCCCATCCAGAAAAGGAACTGGAAGCTCTTATCGCTGCTGCAAACGAACCTCCCGCAGGTATTGTATTTATGTCAGTATTATAATATTTATGCCCAGATCGCGCTTCAGGTTTATAACTTATTAATGTAGTCGAATTAATTATTTTTAATATGTTAATCTCTTCTGTAATGTTTCCTGTTTTTTTTTTGTTTTTTTTTTTACAGGCACAAAGGAGACTGATTCAGGTCACCACACTGCCAGATCAAAGCATCGGAAAAGCACAGCTAGACACTAAGTTTAGCTCCTAATTTTAAGAACATTAATTATAAACACAGTAAAATATTGGCATCCATCTATCCATTGTCTATACCCGCTTGTCCCTGCATAGTCACGGTGGGAGCTCCGAGCTCCAGTGGTCATTGGGTAAGAGAGGGGTGTACACCCTGGACAGGCTGTCAGTCCATCACAGAGCAATACAGAACAAACAGCACAGAGACATTTTAGAGAGACCAACTAATTTAACGGTCATGTTTGTGGACTGTGGGAGAAAGCTTGAGTACCATGAGAGTACACACGCATGCACAGGGAAAATATACAAGCAAGGTTTTTACTAAAATATTTGTTTTGAACACATTTAAAAAAAATTTATTACATTTAGAGTGCCTTTCCTAATTATCCATCCACATTCAAGTTCGTCCCATTTTGCCCACAAACTTTATTGTTGTACTTAAGAATACATATGGTTTACTTAAAAAAAAAAAAAATCTGGAAAGTGTAGCAAATCTCTACAAATAGCAAACATCTCTTGAGCTGATTCATGTGTAAACATGACTTTAAGTCTTGATAAGAGACATTTAACAAAAAAAAAAAGAATCAGAGGAGACACAGCTCATCCTTTCATGCACACAGTTTATTGGAAATTCACAGAAGCCAAATGAATTACTCATGGAAACTGTACATACCGTTTACCAAATAAGAAAAAAAAAAAAAAAAGGAAAATCAGACCAAAAACCAGGCTATAGTCTTTTTAAAACCATAGGACAGCCATTCACACTTTTACTTTTTTTATTTTAAGTTCAGGAACACATTAAAAGCCTGCATGATTTTTATATCTAGCTTTCATGCTGCTTAAAGGCAAAATTGTCAGTTCAAGCAGATTTGCAGGTTGTTTTTTTATATGTAATTTCTGTGGTTAATGTAAAAATTTACCATGTTATTGGAGGGAATAGAAGACACTGTTGACAGAGATAAATTTAATTTACTTCAGCAGTAACTAAAGGTTTTTCTACGTTAGCTGATCAAAAAAAAAACCTTCATGTACTCCGTATCGCTTCTCATTTGGCTTTTGCATTCTTTCAATGTGTAAATCACCCGACTTTAAAGAGACAACTGAAACACTGGCAGAGAGGTAGACACAAAGATATGAGATTCCTATAAACCCAGTAGCCATGCAAAGAAAAACTGAAAATGAGCACCGCTACTAAATCCCCCAAATCACATTAAAAACGACAGAAGTAGTGAACACCAGAAAATGTCTCTCCAAGGCCTTCCAGATATCCAAAGACAACATGATGCAACTCCCAGAGTCTGGTTGGCATGGCTACGTGGAAAAAGACACAGAGGTACACATGGTGCTCCTTTGAGAAATCCACGCTCACGGTTACAGACGGTCCACATGTTGTTGTACGTTTGCGCTCAAAGGTTGTTTCAGCTCTATGTTGTACTCTGCAACATTGCAACCTAGTAACAAAATCCCCGTCTTGAAATTGTGGCGGGTCGATTGGAGGCTTCAACGTGTGCAGCCTTAAGGAAAGCTGAGCAGCAGTCTACAGAAGTTAGGTCTTCTATACATGGATCTGTTTTGTTTTTTTCTACATTTATAAATGTATGGATTTTAAAAAGACCTTTTTCATATCTAAAGTAGTACTCCCAAGCACGTCACAACACAGTGATGTGAAAAAGTGTTTCTTAAAGTACACATGCACGAGAGTCTTAACGGGATGTATCCAAAGTCACACCCCAAAACGGTGTCCATGTCATTTTCACAGCAACCGATGGCGGCGAGCATTGCTGTCTGTGTTACTAACGTAGCTTACAGCGACAATGTGGTTTTGTCCAAGCAAAGGCACTGGAAACATAAAACTGAAACTCAAGTGCAACAGCTCTGACTTCGCCATGTTTTTATGCAATAAACCCATTCCAGATCATTCCTCACCTCTATGGACAAGTTGTCAAGTCTCGTCAACCAGCGGCAGACGAAACTGTTTCAATATTTAACTTCTGACCTAAACGGAGTTTAGTCTATGTATCGTTAACACAAATGCTATCAAAACAAAGAAAGCATGAAAAGATCCTTCAACAAATGTATCTTCTTCAGACACTCGCATGAGTTCTCTGCTGGTATTTTTCGACTGAACACAAGAAGTCAAAAGTGACTCGGGTACAACCGACACAGTGCAGAAAGACAAACAATAGTCAAAGGAAATGGGGATTCGTCAAGACCAAAAATCCAAACCATACATGCATACTTCAGAGTTTTGAAGCCACTTGTAGGCAGAAATGAGGAAGTACTAATTTCTCTTTCCAACTAAAATTTGTTTTCTCTTACTGAAAAATCTTTCTGACTTTGACATCAAGTCTATTGCGTGGTTTCCAAGGTTTCTAAATCGAGAACCATCAAAACAAACGTTTTGGAGTGGAGAAATGCTGAGGCTAGGTAAAGGACTACTTCACTTTTTTTGCTTAATTAATTTTTAATAGGTAAGTAAAAAGTACCAATTTCAAGCATTTATTATTGCACAAATTCTGATTATTAAAAGTGTTCAGTTATTAACTTCAACACTGAATCCCTTCCTGTGTGCCCACTGCCACTCCAACAACTTTTGTTAGTTATTTTGTGCTTTAATAAAAGTTTTTAAACCAATTTGCTCAATTATCTGATAAACATTGAAGCCTCAACACAAATCATGTTTGGCCATGATTTGAGTTCTCTATAGATAATCAACTTCTTTTCAATTAATCCATCTTGATATAATCTTAATAAAAGATAAAGGATTTAAATAAAAAAAATAAAAGGATTTTTTTAACGTAATAACCCATAGATTTACTCAAAATCCATAGTTTCATTAGTTGCAGAGATGGTCTAAAGTCTGATGCTCTCTGAAACATTCCTTTCTAAATTAGTGTTATGCTCTTTTCAAATATGAAAAAGAAAAAAGACATCTACGATGGTGGAAGCAGATGCCGAGCTCCAGAGTTTCTCCTGCAATGTTCAGCTGTATGCTCTAGAGATTTTCACATTAAAGTCCCCCTGTTCTCCTGTAAAGGTGAAAGGAGGAGACATGGAAGGGTCCACTGTTTTCCCCACAGTTCCTTGTGAGCATGCGGTTTCACATGAGATGGATGAATGATGCATGTAGCCGTGGAGGAGTGTGAATCCAGAACCATTGTGGTAGCCATGCTGGTCACAATCCTGTTCAGTGGGCCAGGTTGGTGTAGATGGCAAATCCCCACCCAGCTTTCAAGAAAATAAAAAATAAAAAAACATGATCATGAACGTTTGATGTTTAATCGTCTCTTCTTCATGTTAGCCTCAGCACAACATGCCAGAGCTGCCAATGGATGTGTGGTTGTCTTTCACTTCTTTGAAGGGTCCCAGTTTGGAAGTTTGGTCAGTATGTCCTTATGATCCACTTCAACACTGGCCACCAGACCTCCTTTGTTCAAAGGAGTTCCACTGAAGTCGATGTTCTCCCCCTTCAGAGTGGTCATGTGGCCTCCTGTAAAGGAGATTAATGGCTATTAGACAGATAAGTGTAAAGTTGAAATGAATTTCACCCATATCAGAATTATGAGGAAAAGACAAGCGAGTTACATCAGGTCATGCATTTCTGTTCTCTTTGTCAGTGTTCAAAAATATAACAAACTGGTTCATTTGTAAATTAATTGTGCGTTAGAATAAATAGGGTTCATATTTCAAACACAGGATATTTGACATTGGGTCAGGGAAATGTATTGCACGACTTATGAGATACAAAGAAGCTAGCTAGCTAGTAAGGGTATATAAGTAGCTAGTTAGCAGTAGCCTTAACCATTTCAGAATGCAATGAAGATGTCTGAGTGTGACTCAAACAAGCCTCACAAGGAAATAAAACAAAACAAAGGATATAAGAGATTAAACAAGTCTGTCAAGACAACATTTAAAACTAAGATTAACATATTAAAGGCCAACTTGCATTTAAAAAAAAAAGACATTTTAAGGCCTTAATTGTAGATACATGAATTCAAGACTTGCTAAGGCTGCAGGTACATCCTGGATACATTCCCTGCTGGGAAGAAATTTGAAACTAGAGCTTTCAGAGGGTTTAAGCAGCTCATCCCTCTCAGCTGAAGTCACTGGTAATAATATAAAGAAAGTATAAAAGTTTGTGGAAAAAAAAGAAATAAAAAAAGTGCTATGTTTTTACCAAGTGCGTTCAGTAGTGCGGCACCAGCACAGATGTCCCATTTCTTAATGTATGTGATATGGATGTAAACATCTGCTTCATGTATAGGCTTTGTTTGACCTGAATGCATCTTCAACAGCGATAGCACCTTGTATCCTGTAAGACAAAAAAAAAATAAAAATACAACACTGTGGCTGAAATGCCTGGTAGCCGTTAGCCTGTCTAAATAACTTTCTTAACAAAAACTACTGCTGTTTGCTTAAGGGTTATAAAGAAAAATGACAATTCAAAAACCCAACTTTAATCCAATTATTTGACAAAGGCAGAAACTGTTTATATTGTGAGGAAAGACAAATGCTGCTGAATCAACTCACTGCAGCACTAAGTCATATGTCACTGAGTGGGTGACAGAAGTACAGTGGCTCTCAAAAGTCTACACGACCTGTTTAAAAAATTTGTTTTTCAAATTTAAAACTCAGAAAATGTTTTTTTTTTTTTTTGAGTTTTTACTGGGCGCATTGGCGACACCTGGAGGATATGCTGCGAAACTGCTGATTTTGTGATGCGAAACTGCTGATTTTGTGAAAACAATTGTGCACCAGAGACATGATGAATAAGTCATATATCTATGTTTGCAGTTACATGAGCGCTTTTTAACGCATGCCTAAGTGATTCATTAGTAGCCATAGCAATAAAGACCACATAAAATTGTGAAAAGAGTGTGAATTTGGAGACTGAAAAACAGCAGCTTCACCATTTCGCAGGCGCACTTCTGAATTTGTTTGCATTGTGCAATCTAGGTAGACGGTGGACATTAAATAATGTCTGACTTTGCACAAGACATACGAGTAGTCAACGGCGCCTCTTACTTGCGCCATAATAGCTTCCTCTTCTTCCCACAAAAACACAAAAGTTTTGCAAGGCTCATTTACATATTTTTGCATATTTAAACAAAAGCGTTTCTGGTGATTCCACCTGTGCACTCAATAGCACATTTACTGGAATCTCCAAAGAAGATTCCAGTAAATGTGCTGGAAAGTATGCATGTATCCAAGTATGCTTGGATACATGCATACTTTTTTTTTCTAGTTCAGCTAATGCCAGCCTTTAGTAGACAATCAACACAAGTCTTTGTGCAATTGGCTCCTGGTCATCACAGCTGCAGGTAATATCTTTCATGTTCCTTAAATGCTAAAAAGGACCAAGAATTCTCTGCTCACCTGCGCCACCTGCTGGGATTATTGTTGTGTTGTTTCCAAAAGCAGAATGGATAAAGTTTTTTACTTCTCCAGAATGTGACCGTGACACAATCACTTTTGGCGAGTTGAGGTTGTAGGATGACCTCTGCTTCATGTTTGTTCCCTGACCTACCATCGCCCAGGCTGAGGAAGCCATAATAGAGACAGAAGCAGGGCAGAGAAAGAGAACAAGTTCATATACTTGCATTTTTTTTTCTAGCATAAAGACACTTTACATTACAATAAGGCTTTTTTAAAATAAGAAAATATATCCAAAGGGTGTACTAGTCAAAGATACGGATAAAACATCTCTTCACAGATGCCCCAACTTACCAGTAAACCCTGTAAATGGCTGGTGTATGACACCAATGACTGGTTTACCCTCTAGAGCAACACACACCATAGTGGTCACATAGTCTACCATGTTCTCTGTGGAAAGATAAAGTCACAGGGTAAGAGTGAAAACAGGCATTTGTGTCCAGTGTGAGTATCTGTTGATGTAGGACTTGCTGCAACATGAGCATTAAAGCTGCAACACTGCACTGATATTGCAATGATATTATATTTGAGACATACTGTGCAGCTCTAATTACAAATAATTATTCTGACTCCAAGT